CCAGAGGAGGGAGCCATAAGATCATTTCAAACAATTATATATTCTTATTTTCTACAAGGTCTGTAGAAAACCTTTTCAAAATGGTCACTAACCTACGTTTTCATTTGTTTGAACGATGAGTGGTAGAGACCTCAAATTTGAACAGATCGACAATGTTTTTCGCATTCAAAATCCGTCGTCTTGTTTTGAAGAATCTAATCTTTCAAAAGAGCAGTGACATACATCACCTGCGTTTATGTCGTTTAGATTTGTGTACACCAAAGAGAAAAATCGCAGTCTCTATCTCATTTTTATTCAAATACTATTTCGAAAATACTCGGACCCATTCTGTTTTGTGATAGATAATAACTACTATTATGCATCCCAAAATATAAGGCAGATTGTTGTTTTTCGAATAACTCAAAGATAATAAAAGATAGAGACTTGCGGTTTGCAGCAGTCGAAAGGGAACAGTCTAGCTTTTATTTTCGTAAGCAAAACCATTTTCCGAAAATATTAAGAACGTTGATTTTCTAGAAGTTTTTCGGAAAATCATTTTGAATCTCCAGAAACTGAGATAGCAATCGATTAGTTTCTTTTCACAGGCAGGTAGTCCAAAGTGTCCTCTCCAGAACAGGAGTTAAGCGAACTCCTAACTTTTTCTGGTTCAGGTGTGGCATCGGATTTTCTGAAAGTCTTAGGATCAATACTTTTTAGGTGTAATAATTCTGAAAACGGATGGAAATATAGGTAATCGACACGCTGATAGCAACATTTGTTTTCAAAAAGGTTTCCGAGGTACTCTGTTTTACCTGCTTAACACTATGCAGTTCGATAAAAGTTTTAAAAATGAATACAAAATACTGCAGTTTTTGAAAAGGCTTCCTAGAAATCTTCCGAAGTACAAGAATGTTTTTTATTATTCTCAAGTAAAAAACAATATTCAGCAGATAAAACAGAGTACATCTTGATATTCTGACATAATTTGGATAGATCGTGACTGCGTTATGAATTTTTTAATTTTACTCAACAGTAGGCAAAAAATGAATTATTTCACCTAATATACATTTTCACTAGGTCTTTGAAAGTTTTTTGAAAACAAAAGTGTGGCCACGAGATTCAGCGTGTCGATTACCTATGTTTCCATCCGTTTTCGGAATTATTACACCTAACGAAATATTGACCCTAGGACTTTCAAAAAACCCGATGCCGCACCTAAACCAGTCGCTTAACACCTATTCTGAAGAGCACACTTGGACTACTTGTCTATGAAAAGAAACTAATCGATTGCTATCTCAGTTTCTGGAGATCCAAACTGATTTTCCGAAAAACTTCTGGAAAAGCAACCTTCTTAATAGTTTCGGAAAAAGGTTTTGCTTACGACTGTTCCCTTTCGACTGCTGAAAACTGCAAGTCTCTATCTTTTATCATCTTCGAGTTATTCGGAAAACAACAATCTGCCTTATATTTTGAGATGGATAATAGAATGTGATAGTGTATGCACGACATTAACTAGAGAAAGAATTTATAGTCACTTGGCCAAATCTGTCAGAAAGCATGGCACAATCATTTTTTTAAAGCGGTCAGCGTCATTCCGATTATTTAATGTTAATGATATTCGATTCTATCACAGATTAATTACATGCAGTTCATACCCATTTGAACTCCTAAATTCCACATGTTGAGTTGATTCATGTTGCTTGAGTCTTGTCTTGTTCCTTTCGGATAAACTCTGATTACTGAGCTTTGTGTTTGTTTCAGAAAATCTCTTGCATTACTTTCATTTATTAGTTTATCAAATGTATATTCAGATAATTGAGGTGATTCACAAGAAGTATCTGTAATAAATACACATAAGAAAAGAAATATTGAGCTGTTTATTTTTACTTGCAATTTTTTTTTATATCATATAGGAAATTTGGTAGATAAAAAAGTAATTGATTAAATTCAGATTCCACGACCTAAAATCATAATGATAGTTGTTTATTTAATAAAATAGTTTATTTCACACTTTACTTCTTGTAAAAGGGGTACTTGTACATTCATAGATTGTAATGTCTTCAACTGAGTTACTCTTGGGCTCTAAAAAATGTAAGAAATAAATAGTAGAAAACAATCAAACGGTAAAAAATATAAAGAAAGACGTACTCGCAGTAAAACTTTATATTTTAATTCATCCGCTGATGGTAAAACATTTGGATTATCAGGTGATAAAGGTTTTGTTAGAAGATAATCTTTAAAACGAATTTTTATACGTAATTTCAAGAAACGAAAAATATAAAAATTAGATTTAATCAATTTTTCTCACCTCCTAATACTTCTTTAAGAATTCGCACCATCTCTTTTTGCTGGGTATGCGTACAATGATTTTCAATATCAAGAATAACTGGATATCTAATTGAAGAATAATTATTTTTAATGTAAAATAGTTCTGGTTACATAAAATTGTTCACAGTATCCCAGTACATTTTTAACTCTGTTTTTCTAACACATTGCCTTGTGATACATGACGCATCCGTTTGAAGTGGAGGAAAAAGGTTTAGTCGATTTTGATTTTACCATCTCGTTTTCCAAGAACAAGCAGTAGGTGATACAGACCGTCCTCACTGTCCTGTTTAAACACTGTAAATTTTTTCAGTTTTGATAAAGTTGGTATTTACAGGGGAGAAAACAGATATTGTCAACGGAAAAAAGTTAAAGCCCATTTTTCAAAACCTATCGTTTTGAGATCTTTAACCAAATTTTAACATTCTGACACGTGAAGAACACTTAGACTACTGCGATCATTTCCTGTGCAATTGATGCGTCGCTACTATGTATGTCTGTTTTAGTCAAATTCTCTGTAAACTAGCTCAACAGAGTGATTTGTTCTGATTACTTCTAAAGAATAATACTTAGTAAATGTTGCCAACTGGCGCCATAATATGTCGGATACGCTTTATTCTGACCAAAAAGAATGTGAGTTTTCGTATAACCAAATAGTGAGAACTTTAAAACGAGAAACTTGTAGATTTTTTAAGTACAATGATTTTCTTTGTGAAACGATCGTAGAAAAATGTTGTGAAAAAAATGACAGTCAAAATTCATTTTGCTCAGTTTTCCACCTTACTTTATGTCATGTATTTAAAAATTGCGTTTGGATTTGAGAAAAGTGTGAAAATTTACAACTTATGTGGTATTTATACAAGATGTGTCTATCTCGAGATCTTACTCTAAAGGTTCACTCATCATTAGTAGTCACGAGTAACAGTTTTGTTAAAAGTAACAACGGATACTATTTTGTCACTCTGTTGTAAATAGCACGTACAAAGATCAGAACTTCCCACTAGCCTCAAAATGACTAGGATTTTATTACTTTTGGTAATGTAACAAAGGATCAGAGATTTGTGGAAAATAGGTGTTTGTCAGTCTCCGAATGTTCCTGACATTTTAGAAAAAAAGTTTTAATTTCATTAGATATTCTACAACTCTTCTCAGGCTGCTTGATTCTCTACTGTCAAACTTTCAAATCATCACCAACAATAGCATAACTTAATGTAAATTTTTCAGTTCTTTCTTATCTATCGTTGCAGAATTATTTACAGTGATTATCCAAAATGATTTTTCTCAAATTCTCGTTTTAGCATACATCAAGGATTTGGAAGGAGCTGTTCGCTCTTCTATTTCTGATCAAGAAAATAGAAATTTCTTATAATGAGTCATAGAAAGCTTGTCAATAAACTTCAATTAATCGATAATTTTTACTGAAATAGTAAGTATCCGTTGACTTTTTCTAAATCACGTTTAATTGGGTAATGAATTGTGCTTAAGGCCTCCTCGTTCGAAACGTATTTCGATAACTAAAAGTCTGATCTGGACCAAAGTTTCATGGAATGTTCATCGTATGATTGTACTCTTTTCGTAAAATTTTGACGAAGTCATATATCACCGTTTCGGAGATGTTGCTGAACTAGGAGTCAAAATGGACCTACTCGCAACTGCAAAATTTTTCGGTACCGAGACGTCGTGGAGAGACCTAGTGGGTCTCTACAGGGCGAAAGTACATGTGACTAGAGGCTAATAGAGTGAAAATGTTGATATTGTACTTTACAGAATAATGATAAATGTCAAAATTCGAAAAAGTCTCATTAATTTGCACACAGATGTTTTCCTAACTACAAATCCAGACTGAATATCAAAACTTGAGCTCTATTAGCCTCTAGCCACGTGTGTTAGCTTCATTTTAAGACCAATCCAAACTCTCTTTACGTCACTCCATTACGAAGAAATGATGCAGCTACGAAGTCGTATGAACGCGAAGTTCGCTTTTGACATAAGTGACGATAGTGTACAATGCATATTTTAGAGCTTCTATTCAAAGTTCTTATAACTTTTGGTTGAAACATTGTCTAGAATTGGAAACCGTCTCATTTCGATGAGAAATGTTCGGTCTACAAACTAGTCGCTTTAGAGCTACTTTTTCGCTCAATTGTATTGGTAACACACAGATAATGGAAAAGCCAGTTTTTCAGCGCTTTCGGAAACTATATGAAAAACTTGCAGAAACCATCAAAGAAGAGCTTACTAGCATGGATTCAGATAGCAGATGTCTTGGGCTATCTGATAATGTGCTTAGCTCAATACTAATTTTTTTTTACAAAAAATTTCGTATTTCTTTGAGGTGCGGTGGGAGTGGGCGGATGACATTAACTGGCCGTTTCTTGTCGATTTTGATGACACGAGTATTTCATAGAAAAAATATGATATTCTTTTCTTCGCTTATACTGATTATATTTATTACTTACGGAGATACGACAAATAAGTTCGGTTTCATCGCGGTAATAATTGCCTCAAAAGTAATAGCTTTAACAAGTGTAAATCCATGATAGACAATCGGTTGTCCGTCTGGTCCATCATAACAATCAACTAAAAAGAAGAAAAACTTCTCATAAAAGTAAAAATGATCAAAATTTTACTTACGTTCTACAGCTCGTCCACCTTTTAATAAAACTCGATTATAAGCTTCTGCACTGCTTTCACCCATTACCTGATTCTTAAATAAATATCTACAAAACCACATGAACATACGAGTATAGAACATCTAATAATATTAAATTTTGATGAACTCACGTGTTATGAGATGTGTTTATATAATAATGCGTTAAGGGTCTAAAGATGGAAAAAACTAATTACATTTAATACTGGAAACGAACGAAATTTACTTACTTTGTCATATCTTGATAAGGACTAGATAAGCACGATGGTTTCATTATATCAAATTCATCAGACAGCAGTAAATTTCGAAAACCTATAAAGATTACTTTAAAGTTTACATATTCGAGTCTTGATTTTAGTTGTAGGAAAGGCGGTTTTGAGTTTTTGATTGTTTCAGAATCCTATAATAGATTTATTAACACTTGTATTCTGAATCGATAAACTATAAATCAATCATACTGAATTCAACATTATGCGAAATAGATAACCACTATTGTAGATTCAATAATAAAAGATGGTTTTATTTCAGATCGAATAATCGTTTAAACCCCCTCGTAATAAAAGATCAGTTGACATTTTATTTTATCCGTCAACTCGAAATTTGAACGATGGACTTCTATTGAGGTCAATGTTTTTCTTATGAGTAAAATTACTTTAAAACTTATTTTACATGCTAATAATGATCGTTTAGATTCGTTTTCTGCGCAAAGTCAAAAAAATTCATCTTCGTTATTTGAAACATGTAATGAGTCAGTATGCCTACCAGTATTGTAGGTTTTTTATAATGTGTTTTATCGTCCTAGAAAAGACTAGCTTGGATTCATGCCGATGTGATTGGTTGGACTAGCACTAGATCAGATCAGTCCGAGACCGTTCTGGGAAAAAGCAGATCGTTGACAACTACGATTAACGTAGAGCACCACTTTTCGTTTAAAAAAAAACTGAGTTGGAACATTTGTTCCTCAAGCGGATGACTAGAAAGAGCTCTGAAAAATGGATATTTTATCGAAAAACTTGCACTTTTGGACAAAAATAAAATCATCTACTTTCCATCTTTCGTCATTCTGATGTAGCATCGGCTTTTCTGCAAACTCTAGAACTGGATATTCTGGATTATGAATAACGGACAGATGTGTGGAACTTAAGTTCTAGACCACGCTAATTTTCATTAGATCACATCTTTCCATTAGAAAATCTCAAAACATAAAGGAAAACTACTTCAGTGAGTAAAGAAAATCTGTCATTCCAGTCTATTCTCATGTAAAAGTCGGAAATTTTTTACACATTGAAAAATAATCCAAAAGCCTAAAAAAAAATTCAAAAAGCACTTTATTTTATACTTCAACAAAACAATATTTCTAAACTGAATACTTTTAATACGAACACATATGCTTTTACAATGGCAATCGAATAGGGGAAATCAATGGCGTATCCAGGATTTTTCGAAGTGTGGGCAACCCTCCAGCTAGAGTGTCCAGAAGATTGGGCGAGCCTGGGCAGAGCTCAAAGGCAATGGTCAGAAAATATTCGGATATACCAAACTTTTCC